ATTGGGTTCTGGTCACTCAAAACAGATCCATCTGCCCATGGAGCAGTCGACAGCCCAATGCTCCTGACAGTCTCTCATTGTTTCTTCATTCAGTTGTCCATCGGGCTGTTGTCATGTCGAACTGAATAAATTTCAGGGCATGCCCCATATTCAGCACTACAATAGGAAGAAAACATTAGCATTAGAATAAAATTATAGAACAATTATATTATGTAAGTGTTTTATAAAAATTTACCTTGACTCTTGATTGGGCAGGTAGAGCGCTTAACTGCCACTTTCCGTTTAGTACCTGATCACCCAAGTGCCCAAACATCCTGCTGTCATGCAACAGTCGCGGGAACAACCTGGACAGTGGCTCCAACTCGACCTTCAACTGCTTGTCTCGACAAATAGTTGGGTTGCAGTCAAGGTCTTCGCAACCCTTCCTCTAGATGCGCGACGACTGCTATCCGTGCATCTGTTTGACGAGGATGATGCAATACACTCTTTTAACAAAGGCCCAACTGTGGCCATATTTGAGCCGATCCCCCCTTACATACTGCATAATCTGTCATCAAACTGGAAATCATCAGGGATGCAGTCCAACTATTGTGCGGCCAATCTTTTCGCTTTGGTCCTTTTGCTACACCACTAGCAATGACATTTTAATTAATTGTGATACGCCGAAACAAGCGTTTGGCCAAACGCCACATCGGTGATAGCACAGTCGGGATACAACAGATCACCATCAGTAGTCTGTCGTAGCCTCATCAGTGTCATATCTCATCGATGTGCTGCATCAAATAAAAACAACAAGATAAGTATGGAAAACATGGCAAAAATAAGGAAATTAAGTGAAAATAACTCACCGAGTCCTCAAGCCACGTGCCTATCGTCAACAACTTCTCAACCATTCCCGGGGATAATCCCTTGTCTCACACTTTATATGGTTATTACTTCCTGATCCATTGTAATAGGCATAAAAGAGTTTTTTCTTTTCTTCTATTGGCCTATACAAATCAACATTTGAGTCCAATTTCCCTTGCCCACTTCCTCCCCTTCCTCCATTTTTACATCCCCGCTTCCTTTGCCTCTCACCTCGCCTTCCTCCATTTCTGGTTTTCTCCTCCATTTGTTTCTATTTTCTCTTCTTTACCTGTGTCACTACCATGTAAGGCGATTTCACAACTTACTCTTTCGGCTCTCTCTTTTCAAGCCAGTTTGCACTTCAACCACCTTTAATTCTCCACCAACTTCCTCCTCCATTGTACCAACTTCAGCCTCCACTGTACCAACTTTCTCTCCCGCTTATCCATTTTCTCCTCCACCCTTTTCATGCACTCTTCCATCTTGTCAAACCTTGCATAAACGGCTGTTGTAAAACTCTCAAACAGGCCGTTTATGAGGTCAACAACCTCATTCTCCCTACGCCGATGTCTTGGCAAAGGGTACTTGTTGTACCAGTTTACTGAGGCATACGAACCTCTTCCTCCCTCTCACCTCCTCATCCTCGGCCTCCCGCCCATAGAGCTTCATAATCCTCAACATCAACGACATGGTCAAGCAATGGCCCTACAACTGCCGTCACATGCGTGACCTCTTTTAGGTCCCATATCAAGTCCTATCTGTTCATCCCTTTCATCCTCCATTGCTTTGAAAGATGTGACATAGTCCTTTTTCGCTTCATCCCCATAGCGGTAAGAAAGGACGGATGACTCCCTGCAATAAGAAATAAAAATCAATCAGATTGAAGCAAAATAAAAGTAACTACATATCAAAAGCTTAATCCTTTAATCTTACCCCAGCCGCTTGAATCTCAATCTCTATTTGGTCGTAATCCCATGGTTACACTCCTGACATGCCACCGCAACATCCTGGAATTGCTGTTGCGCATCCAAACTGTTGCTCCTCCCCCCCCCCCCCCCCCCCCGGCCTTAACGAAGACAGGGATGGCCTCGTACATCCAAGCCTACATTGTAAAAAAACAGTTCATAACATAATTCAAATACATATATTATAAAAAATATAACATAGAGCTATTAATATTTACCTGGATTGCCCATGGGAAGCCAAACAAATTATACGTGCTTGGTTTAGCCTTCCCGCCCCATTCGGCATGCTTTAATGCCATTTTTCAAACTCTTGATGGTTCGCTTAAATGATATCTATCCCCACAGATAAGAATTAAAGAACTACAAGTCGCTTGCAAACAACAACCAATCTTTCTCAATAGCTTTTGTTGAGTCACCAGCCAATAAGATAGAATGTAAAAACAATAGCAAGCACACTTTTGTCTTCTCTCCATCATTAAAGCAAACTGTTTCTAGCATCTCCTCTAAAACGTGTCCTGTAATAGACTTTGCCCCCTGCAAAACCTTATTATGAAACCTTATGGCTCCCGGACTCGTCTTTATTGCGTCTGCCTCCGCCTTATTTGGCACTTCCCCGCATCCTTAGCCCGTCACCAAGGCATACTCTATCATCCCAAACCGTAGTGGCTTTTCGTCCACTACGAACCACATTTCATTTTTTTTGTTGCATTTTACTGAGTGCATCAACATGTAATGGACTCCCTGCCCCCAAAATGCCTTTTTCCAATTTGTTCCGATTCTTAAAAACTGACCGAAACAAGTGCGACCGAAATCTCTTTCACCACGCTTTATTCCAGCTAAAATGGCCCTTATTCTGTCAAAAACCTCACAACTTGACCTCACCGTCACCCTTGTAGGGAAGTAGGGTACCTTCTCACTTATAGGCTCCAACTCGTACTCTCTACAGTTTACGGTCTACACAATCTGCACAATCGATATAAACAAAATGTCAGCAACAAAAATAAACCAAAACAACTAATAAACAAAATATCAGCAACAAAAAATTACCATTGTAGTCGCTTAAGTGATTTCGGATCGCTTAAGAGATCTTGACTCTACCTCGTGCAAGATTGCTTAAGCGATTTGAAATCGCTTAAGTGACCAAGAGTAAACTGAGAATCTCTTAAGTGATATAAAAGATCGCTTATTATATCTGTGATTCTGCCTTGACAAGATCGCTTAAGCGACCAGGAGTAAACACTCATGATCGCTTGAGCGATTTGTATCGCTTAAGCGATCATGAGTAAAACAGAATAATCACTTAAGCGATACAAATGATCGCTTAAGCGACAGTACAAGCAATATTCCCAAACAACGTACCCTTTCTTCGCCGGCCTCCTCCTCGTCGCCTAAATCCTTGGACAACTCCTCTTGGCCTGAATTCTCGCTGGAATCCTCCTCCTAGCCTGAATTCTCACTGGAATCCTCCTCCTGGCCTGAATTCTCGCTGGAATCCTCCTCCTGGCCTGAATTCTCGCCTGACTCCCCGTCTTTAGAACCGTTTGCTGGTTCTTCCCTCTGTTCTTATGCCGCCGGTGTCTCCTCTGCGTGTGGACCACCTTCACTGGTCGAATGATCCACCGGAGCAGCCATTGAATTGCTTGCGCCACCGGAATCTAAGATTCAAAGTGGAGTTGGGTTTTCCTCCTCATTGTGAGTGTCAGCCATGGTTTTGGATTGAATTTGGTGTCAAAGTTTGCAGTTTCGATCGGAAATGTGGACTGTATCACTGAAAATCGCACAAATTCCATTTAGGGTTAAGGAAATCGATTTTAGGGTTCAACAAATCGATCAAAAATCGCGACTATATCACCGAAAATCGTGACTGTATTCAGTTTGGGGTTCAAGAAATTGATTTAGGGTTCAAATTTGCAAGTGTTTGATCGGAAAAAAGCGTGTCTCCCTTTGGTTCAAGATATCGCTTTTTGCCTAATGAATTTCGATTAAGCGAGGTGAATAGTGGGGCTTGTTTTGAGAAATTTCAAATTTTAAAAACTTTCATTATTTCTAATTCGGCCCACATATGTTTTAATATTTTCATTTTAACCCCTTTTACGTGTTTAATTAATCCTAACTATGCCACGTCATCTTCTCTAAATTATAAAATATTTGATGAACAGTTTCAAGGCCATTTTCTTAAATCGAAACTTGGGATGGCCGGGTAGCTAAATTTTCTCTATAAACAACAAAACCTGATTCACTCACACACACACAAACACAATACATAAGCAACAAAATCATACAAACAAACATAATACATAAACAACAAAACCTAAGGCGTGTGTGAAAGAAGGCCGGAGCTATGCGCCAAAATAGTGCAGATCGGCCCGACTGAGCTTCACAAGAGGTTGAATGCATGTGGAAGAGAAGTTGCAGCGGTGGTTGGAAGAAGACAGATTGAAAAAATAAGGAACAAGAAGAAAAAGAAAGGAATAAAGAAGAAAGAATGAAAAGAGAAAAAAAAGTTGCAAATGTCAGGTGAAAGAGAGAGTTGTCACGGTGGTTAGTGGTTGGAAGAAGACGGACCGAAGAAATAAAGAAGAAGAAAGAAGGAAAAGATAAAAATAAAGTTTGCAGATGACAGACCCCACAAACATCAAATATGTCAAGAATCATTTTTTGGATACATTTTCTTGGATAATAAAACAAATGTATATTCTGAAAATTAGAGCCCAAATAGTATCATAATAGTTACCCAAAATTATTTTACCCCCTTAAAAAGTATCAAAACCCCACCACCGGAAAGGGTATATAATAATTGCGGAAATGATATAGCCACCGAAGGTTATACACCGATTTTATGCACCGAATGACGTGACAAAATCTTGACCATTGATTAATTTATTCGGTACACTACTTCAGTGACTGTAGCATTACTCTAAAAATTTTGAGTGTAGTTAAAATTTCATTATCTTTCAAGGGGTTGAACGAAATAACCCGAAGATCATTATTTGGGGAAAAGTGTAATATTGGAATTATTTGGGGTGTAATTAGAATTAGAATATGTATAGAAAAATTCATAAGTGTAATATTGGAACTTTTGAGTCTTATTGGACAAAAGTTGGGGTGCAAACAGAAAAAGTTGGGGTGTAACTAGTATATACTAATCCTCGAATCCAAACAGATCCCTTCTCTTATATTGCCATACCATACCATTCTTGCCAGGGTTTTACGCATAATACTAACACAGAGCAGCAGCTTCAGAGTGAACCGAGTCGACTCAGTTATGGACATAACCGCTGCAAATATGGCGGCTAGCGATGGACCCCCACCGCCTCTACCGGGAGAATCGGTGGCCTTATTCAAGGAAGGCATATCTTTGATTCTCTCCCGATGGTCGGCTCTTCAGATAGCCGTGGAGAACGAGTGGGGCGGCCGTGGCTCACGCGCCATCGCTGACCAGCTTTGCTCAGATGTATTCTCCTGGTTCACTCAGTCCAAAGGTTGATGATTTTTAGTTGATTGCTTAACTCGAAAATTGAAAGTTGCAGCTTTTGATTTGATTTTTTTTAATGAATTTTATTGGCATAAAATTTAAACCTAAGAATTTTTCAAAATATTCATTAGGTGGAATTAGCTCCTTAGCATATTTTTGTTTGGAAATTGCTGAAACCTCAGGATATGTTTCTCCACTTAATTTTAGTTTTGAGTAAGTTTCTCTTAAAAACGGATTTTTTTTAGTCTTAAAATTACAGAAATCTTACTAATATTGACGGGTTTTTATATGTTATTAGTTTTTATTTTTTTTATTTTTTATGATAAATTTATTGTTCTGTTGAACAAATTGCCATTGATGCTGGATTGACCTTGCCATCTATTAATCCTTATAGTTTATATTTTGTGAATAATTTAGACTTCATTTATTTTTTTTCTCATTATGGTTTACTTGTTCCATATCAGATACACTATATATTGATGATCTTGAGAACATTCTTGATGAAACCATGCTTTCACTCAACACCATGACTGAAGATGGCAGCGTTGAAGAGGTATTGCTTCTCTTCTCTTCCAGTTTGTACCTAATAGCACTGTAATTTCATATTTAGCAACCTCATGCTGTAGGAATTATGAGTTGAGTAGTTGTAGTTTTGTTGGTTGCTTATTTGCCGTCTTTGAAGGTTGTACACTTTTTCACTGGATAAGGAACTTGTAATAGTTCCTATAAATAAAAAAAGAAAAAATTGTAGACACCTGTCTATATTGTGCTCCTCATAAACTTGTTTTCACTTGCAAATATTCCTATTTTGCGTTTGTTCAGTTTTTTAGTAGTAGTATTATGAATGATGGTTGTGAACGATTGTGGTGGTTGTTTGCTTAGTTAATAAAAAATAGTTGGGTTAAAAAAGTAAACTCCCCAGGTGTGTATATAGCTCTGACAGATTTCCAGGACATTTCTCTATTACCTTTGTAGTTATAGGACCGTAATGATTTTGTACCTTTTGAATATGGTATTAGGGAACGTAATGATCTTGACCTTTTAAATATGTATCTGCTTCTGCATCGACCATGTCTATTCATTGCTTGTGCTTCTGCTCATGTGCGGCGTGTTATGTTATATAGGAAGTTTTATCATTGATATTTTATGGTTGTGCATTTTCTGTGGATCTTTACAGGTGGCAGAAAAATTGATGATCTTTCATGGAGAATGCTTGGAAGGTAATTACCAGTCTATTGTAGATCTGAGAGCAAGCAGTTCTCAGATGGCAGCTCGTTCTCATGTCAAACAGGTAATTAAAGCTTAAACCTCTTTCCAAACATAAATTTTTTATCTGCCTGTCTGGTCAGATTGATATCTCAAGATTTTGTTTCTATGTTGTAGTTTTTAATGTTGTTAACCTGATGATAGGATGAGAAAGTTCCAATGAATAAATAATTTGTGGTGGCCCGCACATTTAAACGGCAGGGCTTATATGTTTACTTATGACACAAGAATTTTTCAATAAGGTCCGTTCATAGGAGAGACCATAGACTCAATTCAAGGTTGTAATTTAAATTTTTTTTTTTTTTATTAGAATGAAGATGTGTATTGACATTGAAGCCTTGTACAGTGAATTTCAGTTCTTAAAGTATCATTTGATCTTCTCTTTGGTCGATTGCCCTCTGTTTTCTCCTCCCCTGCTTGGATTCTTTGTCTCATTACATATTTTTGCTTGTAGAGGATAGTCAAGAGCATACTATGCTTCAGTAACGTTGAGTTTTAGAAGAAATTTAATTGATTTTCTGTATTGTTAGGTGTTTTTGATGATTACTATTGTTTTCAGTTAAATTTTTCTGATTTTTAAGAAATCTACTGACATAATTAAGTGGAGTTAATTTGCATCTTTTAACACTTTTCCTTCTTGTTGTATCCCTTGTGCCCAGGCTTTGAATGATGAGGATGACGATAGCTCTGATGAAGATGATGATATGTCAAACATGATGGTGGATACACCAGAATCTGTGTCAAAACCGAGTTCAGCAAACATACCAACTAGTGATACGAGGATGACGGAGACAGCCGAAGCAGAAGATGGATGGACAGTAGTTTCATCTAGACGTGGCAGCAAGGGCAAAAAGAACTAGGTTGAACCTCTCATTCCCTTGAATCTCTCGGGAACACAATATAATTTCTCCTTTTCTTTCTCTGCTCATGTCTTTCTGCAGGTTCTTAAGGCATTTTTGGCATGTTGCTTGCTATTAATCTTGTCCCTAAACCTAGCAAAGTTTTGTAGTGAAGAGTGTTGCAGGATCGATTTCTTTGTATATGGACTCATAGTCCAGAATCACATAGAGTCTAATTTTTATATATAAATTTTCTTGGAAGGATTATATTTTGCCTTCCCCTTTCCTTCAAATTACTCTACAAATTGTAGAGAAACTAAACCTTGCACTACCGAGTTATAAATGACATTTGTATTGTCTTGTATAATTTTACTAAATGAATTCTCAAACTTCACCATAACAGCAATGATCTACAAGGAAATCTCACAATAGAAAACAAAAACCATACAAAGTCCAACTTCCCAAAAAGAAATTATCCAAAACTAAGCTCTCTTCTTGTGGTGATAGCAAATCCTTTAGCCATTGGATTAGTAATACTCAAGGAGTTTTGTGTTCGAGTCACAAGAGAGGTATTTACACATTTGTGCAATTATCTTAGCTCATTAGACTTGTATTGTAGGGTGCTCCGTGGCTTTAGGGTTAGACGTGTTCCAATGTGAGCTTGGATGCCTCCTATACCTAAAAAAGATTATCCGAACTTAGTCCCAATTCAAATTAATTACTCTTACCAGAGAAAAAAACATTAAGACTGTTACCAAAAACAAAAACGAAGGCAAAAGGGTCCGCTACATGGAGAAACTATTTTAGTATAACAGATAAACATTAGTCTGTTACCATGTTTCCGCTATTAGAAGAGAAGTCCTTGGTAATCCTACATTTTCTAACCTTGCTAAGAAAGTGAACCTTATCTCAGCAGGAAATTGGGCAACTATTTCTATCATAATTCTTGAGCTTATGGCGCACTCAAGAAGTGCATGCATTTTGACTGCACAAGTCCCTGATCCCTTCAGAGATTCAACTCTCAATTTCCTCTTCTCCTAACTATATATAATATTATCTAAATTAGCTAATATATAGTTCATCATCTTATCAACCTTAACTCACCAACTCCCTCTCTCACAATCATCAACCCACCTACCTTGCTTCAAATTACCCAACTACAGCCCTCCAAAACTTGTCCTTATTCCACTCAAAATGCTCACCAATATCATCAAACTCTTCTTCTTTTCACTCTCATTCTTCATTTTCATCTCCCCAATTTCAGCCCAATTCCTCCCTCCAAACTATGGCCATCAAGGTGAATGGACACTCCTACATGAAAGCACAGGCATTGTAGCAATGCACATGCAGCTCCTCCATAACAACAAGGTGGTCATCTATGACCGTACCGATTTCGGTCGCTCCAACCTCTCTCTCCCCGGTGGCCTTTGCCGATACGACTCTCGTGAACAAGCCCTTAAATATGACTGCACTGCACACTCCATTCTCTATGATACCACCACCAACGGCTTCCGCCCCCTTATGATTCAAACCGATGTTTGGTGCTCCTCCGGCTCGGTTATACCCAACGGAACCCTAGTCCAGACTGGAGGCTTCAACGACGGTGACCACGTTGTCCGTACATTCTCCCCATGTCTTGATCATGAAAATTGTGATTGGCTTGAATTTCCAGAATACTTATTAAGACGTAGATGGTATGGAACTAACCATATTTTACCTGATGGTAGCATAATCATTGTTGGAGGGAGAAGAGAATACAGCTATGAGTTTTACCCCCGGAATCCTCAAGCTCCATTTCTTCTACGTTTCCTGATTGAGACAACAGATTATGCTGAGAACAATTTGTACCCTTTTGTCCACCTTTTACCGGACGGAAATTTGTTTCTTTTTGCAAATACAAGATCAATAGTGCTAGATTACAAGCAAAACCGTGTGGTTAGAGAGTTCCCTGAGATCACTGGAGGTGATCCGCGTAATTATCCAAGCACAGGATCATCCGTGTTGCTTCCTTTAGATGAAAATAACAATGGCAGCAATGTTGAAGCGGAGATCATGGTCTGCGGTGGCGCACCAAAGGATTCATATGGACGAGCATTGCGACAGGACTTTGTACGTGCAGTTTCCACATGTGGGAGGCTCAAGGTTTCCCATGCAAACCCTAATTGGGAAATGGAACCAATGCCAACGCCGAGAGTTATGAGTGACATGTTGATTCTCCCCACCGGTGATGTGATCATAGTCAACGGTGGCGAAAGCGGTACTGCTGGGTGGAACAATGCGCGGGACCCAGTAACCCGGCCGATCATCTACCGTCCATCAGTACATGAAAGTAGCTTGAGATTCTCAGTTATGTCACCGGCCTTCCGGCCGAGATTGTACCATTCCTCAGCTATTCTCCTACCTGATGGGCGTGTTTTGATAGGCGGTAGCAATCCACAGATCTATTACAACTTTACCAATGTACTTTACCCGACCGACTTGAGCTTGGAGGCTTTCTCACCGCCGTATTTATCGGTTGAATACACGGCATTACGGCCGAGAATCATGCACGTGGATCAAACAGTGAGGCACAGGCAGTCGTTTAGAGTGAAATTCATTGTGCTAAATTTCTTGTCAGGGAATGTTGTATCAGTGAGAATCATTGCACCGTCATTTACAACGCATTCTTTTGCAATGAATCAGAGGATGGTGGTAATGAATAAGCTTGGCGTTTCACGGGTCGGGCCTGCTGTGTATAATGTGGACGTTGTGGCCCCGTCGACGGCTGAGATTGCTCCTCCGGGGTACTATTTGTTGTTTTTGGTGCATGCCGAAATTCCTAGTCCCGGTGTGTGGTTGAAGATAGAGTGACGAGTTGTTGGGTAGAACACAGTTGTTGCCTTGTTGGGTAGAATAAGTAGAGTAATCTGAATTTACTAAGATATAATATAAAAAATATGATACTATTATAATATTCTAAATATTTTCTTCATTTACATAATCGAGAAAAAAAAAAAAAAAATCCCAAATAGAAAATCAACTTCAGTTAAACAAGAAAATTGATTACCGATTAAAAAGTTGAGGAGGTTGAATCCAAGAAATTGGTCAACCCCGTTATCTCTGTGAAATCAGTGAGCACAGACTGTTGGTATAGGAAATTCACTATCTTCTTCCACCGGAACGGCTAGATGATAAAGGATATTGAGGAACAACGATGTATTACCCCAACTGTTAACTTTACACCACTTCATCAGTGACCGATCAACCAACTTGAGAATTCGCCATCGTTTAACCTATACAAGATAAAGTGGCAATAAGAGGTCTCCATCCGACGCGATCAAGGAATCTCTGTTGTAAGAGTTCTTCTCCAATGTGAGGACATGGATGGTCTTCCATTCCTATGTTAAAAGTCAATTTAAAACCTCTATCACTAAATACAAGCATGTAAAGAAACATATTTTTGTTACGAAATCTCGTAACAACTAAAAATACTCGATTGACCTTAACGGAATCGAATATTATAACCCCATAGTTATGAATAATCAGAAAAAAAAAATAAAACTAATGAAATTAAATGCAAAAATAACTTTTAAAGTGGTTCCGCCACTAAATTCTTCAAACATATGTGTATGGTTATTTTATTAATGTATTTGATTACAATAATAAGTTCACTCTAAAATTGTTAAACTCTTTACAATGACTTAAAATTATTTTGAGGGGGTTTATACGATAAGTTGATAACAATTACAAGAGTGATTTTCAGGATAATGACTTGATTTTGAAAAATTAATCTAATGATCTTTGGTGTAATTATCACGCGAGATTGTCGGAAGTCCATCCTATAATCTTCTCCTTGATTTTAATGGATAACACCTGTCTAAGAAGATAATGTTCTTCTACGGTTTGGAGGATAACTATCGGATAACTCCTTTAATTACTTCTATCCATAGCTTGCTTCCATTGATCGTCATCCCACAAATTACTTCAAGCTTCAAGCTATTGCTTGCTCCGAACTGTCTGCACATTTTCGCACAACATCCTTAAACCATCATAGGTGTCATCGTCACATCAATGCTAGACACTCACCACCTGCCACATCATTGGTCATTGTTAAAGCTCAATATATATTTATCATAGTGTTGGGATATACCTCTTCAGTGTAACAACTGTTAAGAGAGAAATGGATAGTTTGGGGGCAGAATCTGCACTTTTAAGACTAGGACAATATCCAAATGAGATTTATTTTGGTTTTTAAACAGAAATACCCTCCTACCTATCGAATCATGTAAATGTTTGTTAAACCCGAAGGGGTAAATCCTAGTATTTTAAAACCATATTGGACTTAGTTACTTAGACAATTGTGGACCAAGACTAGTGGTGGATAAAGTCTTTCCCTCGTGTTTATATATATATATATACACGCACACATGGAAATTCTTTAGTTAGGATATTAGAATACTATTGGATTTATTCATTAAACTGATATAATATTTTATACTAAATTTTGATCAACATTAGGTTGCACGCGTCCGAGATTATGGTTGCATGTCTCAAATATGCACAAATCAACTTAAAACCTCACTTGCTAATACAAGCACATAAACAAACACGCTCTTAAAACTATCTTAAGGGTGCGTTTGATTTATGAAATATTAGATTATTGGAATCTTATATTACCTTGAAGACTATAGGGAATTTTTAGGAAAATGTGTTTGACTAGTTAGTGAGTATATTATATTAATATATTAGGTTAAGGGGAATAAATTAGTAGGTATATTATTTAAATTACTAAATTGTCATCTTTTTAAATATCATCATCTTCTTAGTTCATCACTACTGTCCAATAAACTTTATCTTCATATTCTTTAGTTAGGATATACTAGAATACTATTGGATTTATTCATTAAACTGATATAATATTTTATACTAAATTTTGATCAGCATTAGGTCACATGCGTTCGAGATTATGGTTGCATGTCTCAAATATGCACAAATCAACTTAAAACCTCACTTGCTAATACAAGCACATAAACAAACACACTCTTAAAACTATCTTAAGGGTGTGTTTAATTCAGAGAATGTTGGATTACTATGATCTTATATTACCTTGAAGATTACTGTGAATCTTTAAGAAAATGTGTTTGGCTAGTTAGTGGATATATTATATTAATATGTTTGGTTAAGTAGAATAGATTGATGGGTATGTTATTTAAATTACTAAATTGCCATCTTTTTAAATATTAATATAATATTATATTTATTATTAATTTTTGAATAATTTTTTTAACCCCTAATATTTCAAATTTAGCTAAAA